TTTTTACAAAAAACAGCTGAACATGAGAGGTTTTTGGACCAATTTTATGTTCTCCATTCTTTAAGCACCGGTTTGAGCACCGGCACCGTTTCAAAAGTACCGATTTGGCACCGATATCAGATAAAACCTAAACGATACCCATCCCTACTCTGGACACAGTGGAGACTGACAGAAAACAACTACAAGAAGACAGCTTCTTGGAAGACAGAAACAGCTTTACCCCCGACCAGATTTGCACACTGTTAGACCTCTGCCTTACCACCACATATTGTAAATACAACAACGGTTTTTACAGACAAAAACATGGATGTGCCATGGGCTCCCCGGTGTCACCTATTGTAGCCAACCTTTATATGATGGAAAGAAAGGCTCTTGGCTGTTTTAACGGGAGAGTATCTAGCCGCTGGTACAGATATGTGGACGACACATGGGTCAATATCAAGACCCAAGAAGTAGAATCCTTCACTGCACACATCAACGCTGTGGCTAAAAACATCAAGTTCACCAGGGAAGACACAAAGGATAACTGTTTGCCTTTCCTGGACTGTGCCGGACCTCAATGTTGAAGTTTACCAGAAGCCCACACACACGGACCAGTACCTCCTCTTTGACTCCCATCACCCTCTGGAACACAGACTTGAAATAATCAGGACCCTACACCACTGGGCAAAAAATGTTCCCTCTAAGCCTGAAGGAAAAAAGAGGGAATACGCACATGTAAAGGAGGCTCTTAAAACATGTGGTTATCCTAACTGGGCTTTCATAAAGTCAGCAACGAGGCACAGAAAAGAAGATTAGACACCAACTCTTGAGGATCAGAAAGACAAATGCAAAAACATTGTCATCCCCTATGTTGCCAGTTTATCAGAAAAACACAGGAGAGTTTTCTCCAAGCATGACATCCCAGTGTACTTCAGACCCAGCCACACGCTCAGACAAAAACTGGTTCATCCCAAAGACAGAACTCCTAAACACAAACTTAGCAACATAGTATATGCTGTAAAGGGTAGTGACGAATGCCCAGACCTCTACATTGGAGAGACCAAATAGCCACTTAATAAACACATGGCACAACATAGAAGAGCCACCTTGACGGGACAAGACTCAGCAGTCCATCTGCATCTAAAGTACAAAGGTCACTCTTTTAGGACACCAATGTTCACATTTTGGACACAGAAGACAGATAGTATGAAAGAGGAGTGAAAGAAGCCATATGTGTATTGTGAATGACCATCTTTGAACACAGGCGGTGGTTTACGACACCAACTTTCTGCCATCTGAGATCCCTTCCAAGACGCCTTAATGCCCACTCACATCCTGGGCCATCTGACCTCAGGAAATCACATGATAGGTTGGGGTCTATGGAACACCAGGACTGCCATAATGAATTAATTAAATACACCATTAAATAATGAATTAAATGTGGCAATAATTAATTAAAATTGGAATTAATTAATTAA